GTTCTATGTTTCAAAAACACTTTAGTTTCTGAAAACGGAACCATCAATACAAATATACTGAATGTTTTCGTAAGTTATATGTCCCATTCTTGCGCCTTTAAAGACATTTTAAACATTTTAGATAGACGCGAAGGAGAAAATGAGTCATGTTTTGGCCTTGAGAGTGTCGCGTTATTACCATTTTGGTAAACACCAAAACTATTATTTCAAAGCACGACAAAGACGCATTTGGTCAACATCGCCCTGGATTCAGTAGATTGTTTCATGCTGGTGTGATTCATAACGAAGCGTGCCTGTATCAAATGTTAATGTTCTATTTTGATCCGACAACAGCAAACAGATTACGGTCTGCCATGTTGAGGGCAGGATAACCTCCACATGAACTTCCCGCGCACACCTTGCAGGACATTGCATGTTGGCCAGAAGCAGGGGTCATGTCATGTCGGTGCTCATCAAGGTTTAATATTCTACTGACTCAAACGCTAGTCATGATCAATATACATTACTAAACCTACACGCTTCGTGTGCGCCAGGAAAACGTCTTTTAACGATCACCACGTGAACATTTCTGTAAGTATTGTTTCTATATAGCTGGAGTCTCAGCCCACTTCATTGACATCCGGTAATTACGAGCACTGTGAGACTACTAATTGAATCACCTCCGTGGTTTCCCGCGTGCAATCATCACGCAGGTAGAAATCCATTATCTATTGTGTTACCTGAGCGTTATCAAACCCATCACCTACGCTGACCCTTCCGTGACCCCGGCAAACTCTCACCTTGCCAGTAAGTCGTTATGGCTAGGATGCTCGATCCATCCTTTAAGTCAGTGTGGCCACGTACAAATACGAGGCTCCCGTAGTGTAGACATTACGTGAAGAAGTCCGGCGTGACCACCTTGTCGTACGTACGTTTCTTTACCGAAGTCTTAACAACCCGTTTGCTTTATCAATTAAAAGAAGTTGACATTTGATCGCGACATGCCGCGGTCTTGGTGAGCGAGATCCCACTACAAATCTTCTACGTGTGAAAACCCTACTTTTATGTTCCATTTGTATCTACATTGGAGAGTTAATTGTGTGATTGAAGTGATGAATGACAGGGTGTGTGCTACCTGTTCGATTTATCCATACTGAATACATGGCATTTGATAACAACATTCCTTCCACCTGGTCAGGTGATCAGTTAGATCTTGTTTAGTCGACCAGGTGTTATAATGCAGGTGCAACACTATCAGTCGGGCATGAGAGTTGTAGCTTTAGTAACAGCAACTTACTGACAGTGCAGAGTTACGTCCCTTAGCTGTTTGGATCATTTTGATTCCAACATACGATCCGATTAAGAACTTTGCATTGTCAGCAACAATGCCTAATTCACAAGATAGGTAGATGTTTACGACCCATGGGTCGCTTTCTTTTTTATTCACGGTTGATAAGAGTTACTATATTTCATGGTTTATAGTAATTAGTGGCATTTGAGAAAGTTAGATAACTCATTGTACTTCGACCCGTGAAGATACAACTTAGAATTTGGTTTTCATGCTATCGTAAAAGACAACTAACGGGATCGGGTGGTCAGGTTTGCCGACTCGGTGATGTATGTCATTGTATTCCAAATGCGTTGGTGGGTGCTCGTGATGTTAATCATTGGATTGTTTGGTCCAGACTAGAATATTTAGAGGCCACCAAACAGCTAGAATATTGATGAGTGCAGATAAACAACAAACAAACCAACATATCAACTGAATTAGCAGAACTAGTCAGTTGTGTTTGTATGAATTCTGTAAGATTTTCTTCTTCTGTATTATTGACCCAACATGCTTTTGTTTCGGTGAAATGTCGGAGATTATCCCAACCCAGTCTGGATTCCAAGCACGCAACAGGGATGAACTTGATGCATCCTTTAGAAATAGGTTTCAGGTAAATTAAGGTAATACCTACAATCATTAAAGAGTACTGTTCGAGTCTGAAATGTTAACGTCGCTTGGTTCCTCCACACCCGTGATTCAATGGCCATATGTTACCTGCGGGCAGCTGTTAACGTGGTCATAGCAACCATAGGATAAATAAAACCCATAACAAAACAGCGAATAGCACCGAAGGTATATTCATCCACAGTGGTGAAATTACATTTGGTTAGTCAGTTGGTTGGCTTCTTGTTTAACGCCGCTCTCACCAATATTCTAGCTGTATATCGCGGCGGTCTGTACATAATCGAGTCTGGACCAGACGATCCAGTGATCAACAGGACGAGCATCGATCTACGAGTCTTATTTTGGACTTTAACATGAACATAAGTATGGGTTTACTAACATATAGTCTCTGAAACGAACATGTTTTGCTGAAAACACAGTTCCGGAATCAAATTCACAAAATATGATAAAAAGGAACCACAATCTATAGCTAGTCTGGCCACATATTCATGACTTGCATGAGCTGTATTGAATATATTTGTTTCAGGGTTTGTTTAGGGTTCACGTATAGTTTTCAGCCACATTCAACATACTGAGGTTATATCACAGACCATGACTCTAGAAATGGACGTCATGGTTTTACAATGTGGCGAATCGAATCCGAGAAAAGGGTTACATAAAACCTTTGACACTGAAGACTTGGCTTGGTAGTTTTTTAACGCCGCACTCCGCAACATTCCAGCTATATGGCGGCGGTGACAGTGAAGAGGTCCTGGGAACCTCTGCGGGGACACACGTAAACGTGATTGAGGTGAGAGTGTATGGTACAGTGTATGGTGCATGTAGGATATCCTGTATCAATTATCCTGGTTTTACCGGTGTGTCAGCTGTTCACCAAAGATAACCACGAGGCCTGATACAAAGGCATATCCGGGTTGCCTGGCTTAGGCATATTGTTGTAGCCAGTCGACCAACACATCCACATTATCAGATGAACTGTATTATTGAACGGCGTTTTGTGTCAGGAAGTCGTTTGGAACAGGATAAGTGTAAAGGTATTGAATTCTTTCATGTCTGGTTAGACAACATACGTGAGTGTTTGAGTGAGTGAGTATGGCGCTTTGAACAGTATTCCAGTTACATCTTGGTGGAAGGCCGATGTGATGCAGGTCCGCCAGGAACCTACATATAATAAATTTAGTAACCATGTAGCGAGTGAGTGGGTTAGGTTTTAGCAGCTTTTAGCAATATTCCAGCAATTTCACGGAGGGGGGGCAGCAGAAATGTGCTTCACACATTGCACCCATCTGGGGGAATCGAACGGGGTCTTCGTAGACGCTTTAATCACTAGGCTGAGGTGAGGTGAAATTGGGTTTAACGTCGTGCTTGAGAATATTTCGCTCATATGACGACGTGCATGCGTGTGTATGTGTATGTGCGGCTGCTTGTACTAGGCCAGACGTAAGCTGGTTTTATAGTGCTAGCCCACTGAGATACCACGCCGCAGTGAAGCATGAATACCCCACTCAGACACATTATACTGACTCCGAGCCGACCAGTCCTTGTTGTACCCATTAATGCCGAGCGCCAGGCAGGGACCAACAAGTACCATATTTTAACGTCTTTTGTCATGACGTGGTCGGGGATCGAACTCGCGACCTTCCGCTCTCCGGGCGGACGCTGTAACCACTACACCACGGAGGCGGTCACCACTAGGGTACCCCACCGACCCAGTAACTATGTAAGTATCCATGTCCAGCCACACTAACTGCTTTTTGGTCAGTAAACAGAAATGGATACCCCTCTGATGTACGTTTTCCCTGTACTTTATATACTGAGTGACCAATAACGAATCCCTGTGGATCTAAGGTGATTATGTTGACTGGGATTTATCCACCTGGGATGATAACACAATCACTGGTCCATTTAGTGATATTAAAATCAGACGGCGAATTGTTCTCTCCTATGCTCCTCATGTATGTAAGGAGGTGACTTTGGACACAAGAAAGCGAGTCAGCAGATCTGGTTGTTTCTCCAGTGGACTGTCTAGGACTGACTGACTGAGTTTGGTTTTACACCGCTTTTAGCAATATTCCAGCAACATCAGGGCGGGGGGACACCAGAAATGGGCTTCACACATTGTACCCATGTGGGGATTCGAACCTGGTTCTTCGGCATGACGAGCCAACGCTTTACCCACTAGGCTACCCTACCGCCCCGACTGTCTAGGATTATAGGGTAATGAAGTTGTTTTGCATACCCAATTGACCAGTTTTGTCATGACTGTTTGAAAATAATGAATATATTACAGGTGACACTCAAAAAAACCTGCTCCCAACTTGTGCTTGTAGCTTGTACCTTTGTATATCTCATCATATGTTCAGTGACCCTCCCGAATCTCTCTGACCCACCTCACCTTAAAATAAATAACGTCCCTTAACAAATTAAACCGCATAGCGCGTATGAAAAATACTGTGACTTATAATAAATCACCTACTTGACAGGCCTACTGAATTCCAAGGAAAGATGGAATTTGTAAAGTGTGTGACTTTTGTTTGCTTGGTTGTAGTTTAAGCCTTAGCAAGATTTCAGCAGAAGGAAAGTGGTCAAGAAAATCAAGTCTTGACATCCTGAACATTGATGTACACAGCTGACATGATGCCACCAAACACCTCAGAATGACAGACCACCAGGGCCTCCTTTCATAAAGCGCTAAGGTGATCGTAAGTCACTAAAGTGACCTTAGTACAATGTTAAAGAATGGGAGTTAAGGTTAACCTTAGTAAAGATTACTTCGTGAAAGGAGCCCCTGATCCCATTAGCTGCCTCTTACAACAAGCATCGGTTGCTGATAATCCATATTACCTGGTCTACTGTTGTTCAAATGTCATGGATTTATGTTCTTCCAACATCTCAATACCAGTCAAAAACTGTATGCATCCTGTTTCTTTAAGCCATAGCTTGATTCATGGAATCAGGGGTGTGAAATGATTCTAAATAACATACACAGGACATCCCCACACTATTACCATAATTAATAGGGATAATCAAGGTTTGAAACCTTACATACACAAAGACAACACACTTGTTTATCATGTGTAAAGTATGTATACATTTATTTGCATGTGATATTTTCTCTAAGGATTCAAATTTGTAACATTCCTTTCATTCATACACTCAAACATTCCATGGGTCCATTGCTATTTCATTGATTTGTTGTTTTCTTTTTCATTTTCTTATTATTTCTGTTTTTCTTTCCTTTGTGCTTCACAGACTTGCTTGATGTTATCTTCCCTGAAATCTTCCTGGCGGTGTCATCACCTCCCTTGTCCTGTCCAACTTTAGATGTCTCCTGACCTGAACCAGAGGCTTTCTCGACATCCTGATTTAAGGGATTTTTCTTCCTCCGTTTCTTGTTTGCTTTTGATTGTGTAACAGGGCTTTTCTTTTCCCCATTGGTTGTTGAGCTCTCCTTATTTGGCCTGGGCTTTTTCTTATACACAGACTTCATGTTTTCTTCTCTGAAAGATAAAAAGAAAAGAGTTGGTTGGTTGTTGTTTAACGCTGTCCTCAGCAATATTCCAGCTATATGGCGGCAGTCTGTAAATAATCAAATCTGGACCAGACAATCCAGTGATCAACAGCATGTGCACCGATCTACGCAATTGGGATACGATGACATGTGTCAACCAAGTCAGCGAGACTAACCATCTGATCCTGTTAGTTGCCTCTTATGACAATCATGGGTTACTGCAGACCAATACCAACCCGGATCTTCAAGGGTTTAAAAGGAAAAGACTCCATCATTAATGATGTTTAAGGACATATGTTTCATTAAACAGACTGGGTTACATGTGTCTTTTGTGGAAGTTCTTGGAGAAGGCACAAATGAGGAAAATTGGAAAAACCAAAAAAAATAGTATTCTTGAAAAAAAATGATCAGTAGAAAGTGATGCCTGTGACCAAAGCTGAACTAAACCATATTTGTATGCTCGTAGTAAAGACCCAGACAGGTCTAATTCTGAAATAATTGTACCATTTCTGGAAAAATCTCATACAAATATATGTAATGTATGTGAGAAATGCCATGGAAAAATCTTATGGCGTTTGTTATCTACCCTAGTACAAAAATGGGGTTTTGTGGGAGAAGCTGCAAAGGGGGTAACTCTGTCAGGTAAACCAAATCCCAATGTTTCAAATCGAGTAGCTTTCCTTTCACTTGTTAATGAGCTGATATGTACCAAACATGGCATTGCAGTCTTTACAGTGTGGACACATTACTTATCCTGAAAAACCTGATATCCATGTATCACACCTGATCAGGTAGGGATATACCAGTGTTAGTGAATGAGTACGTGCACTCTAACATTGCTTTCACAGAAATAACATGGCATGACTGTTCTGTACTACAAATTCAATGATATATGTCTCCTACTTTTGTTTCTGTCGTTGCTCGATGTCATATTGCGAGTCTGTTGACACAGATTTTCTCTTTGGGGCTGTGTGAGCAAGCTTCTTTCTGTGCTTCCTGAAATTCATGGAGAAGAAAATGAGAGATGCACAAAACACATACTCATACTCCTCAGGGAGCTGAGATTGAAAATTGAGTATAATAATAATGTAGCAGCGTATTCACTTCGTGAAAGGAATCTGGAGCATTATAAATGGAATTATTATTCTTATTATTATTATCAAAACATGAAATTATGCTTCTTCTTTTCGCAGGCTTATCAAAGTTGCAACACTACCAACAACACACAATGTCCCAAACTTACAGGATTTTCCAACAACATGAACAAAAAATACAAAAAATATTCTGACAGTTCAAAATTCCTGCATCAGTTTAAAATATGCCCTCAACAAACAACGCTTTAAAACACATCTACGTATAAGCAACATAGAAATCTTCCGATTCTTACTTCTGCCTCCAAGTAAATGAAAGCTGACAAGGCTAGACATGACAGTGAAGTGACTCACTTGCTGGGTCTGGCCAACTGGAGCATGTAGTCCGGCACTGAACACCCAGCTTGCTTCATGACATTAGCAATGCTGAAACAGAACATATGAATAGCTACAAAACATAATTAAGGTCAAAGAATTTTACCAAAACAAAATTGATGATGATGAAGGTGATGATGATGATGATGATGATGATGATAATCATGGTGGTTTTATATGAACACATCACATGTTATCATTTTGTGGCACATACAGGAAATCCAATAAACCTAAAACTCTGAAAACAATTTTTTTTGTCATCATTGCATTTCTATCAACAGGTACATATCTACCATTTGTTTCAGTGCCACACTCACAGAAACACACACTGATCTGAATACATGTAACTGATCAACTTCACTGCTGCAGCACTTTGAAGTGGATGCTGCACCTGATGAAATCTGGCAGAATCTAATGTCAACTAATGTTGCATCTTGAAATGAGCAGATACGTTTCACACTACACACTATTCCTTCATATGATGGTGACCAGGAGATAACCAGACAATGCAGTTACTATGAGCAACAATCCACAAAGTGGTGCAACAATGATCCATTTAGTAATGAATGATCCATTTGGTTGCCTCCTATGGCTAACATAGTTAACCTTTGATAAGTCAGTGAAACTTCCTACTGGCTCAACTTATCCTTAATAATAATGTCATTTTTTTCAACTTTAATCTTTCCCAGAATGTTTTTCTTTATTAACGTTCGGGAATCATCCATGATCTATCATGTCACGATACCTTACAGTTTCATTTCCTGGTATTTCAACGCTTTGCGCATAGGAATGTCAACACCAGTCTTTACCAAATAAAAACTTGTCTCTGCACCATTGGCTTCGCTAATTGATTTTGTAGAAACAGTGTGAAACTGTGTACAGTGTAGTGTATTTTGATTTTATTGGTTTGACTTTAACAAAATGGGCCTGTAGATCTTAAAGCCTGCAGGTGGCAGCATAGCCTGAAGGCCACCTGGAATATTCACGTATCGCAAACACTGAATTGGTTGCCTACTGTGGCTAACATAGTTAACCTTTGGGTAAGTCAGTGAATCTTTCTACTGGCTCAACTTATCCTTGTTTGCCAGTAGTATATCATGACGACCTGGGAAATGATAAGTATCCACAAGGCATGAACAGAAACCTATTCCAGCCTGGAATCCCCACAAGGACATGTCAAGGCTAACCTTCTGAGATACACTGAGTCGTCCTGTGTGAAGTAGGTAATGGCTCTACCGGGTCGACCTGCACGTCCTGTTCGACCTGTGAAATAAACATCATCATAAGTTTATGTTTTTGATGTTCAAATGAAAACTGTATATGACCTTTTCATTTTACTTTGTACTTATCTGAATCACACTTATTGCAATGTTATTCTGGAAACATTCAGGAGGTTGTGTCTGAAGCACCCATAAAATATTATTCAAGAAGTAAATCTTGCAAAACATGAGTCAGTATTGTCTATTAAATATCAGTTAAATGTTTTCAAGAATAGAAGTTCCATTGTTTTCATGTGCAAGAGAAATTCCCCCAAACTGAAAGACAATCTTCACAGACGATCTTAACAATAACCTGTCCCATTTTACCCCAAAGACAAAAGTGAGTGAGTGAGTTGAGTTTTACACTGCTTTTAGCAATATTCCAGCAATATCATGGCGAGAGACACAAGAAATGGGCTTCTCACATTGTACCCATGTGGGGAATGGAACCTGGGCCTTCAGCATGATGAGCGAACACTTTAACCACTAGGCTACCCCACCGACCCCCTAACGATAAGGAGACTGAGGAACAACTGTGTTCGCTCACCTATCCTGTGTATGTAGCTGATGGCGCTGTAGGGGAAGTCGTAGTTGATGACAAGGTTCACTCCCTTGAAGTCAATACCGCGACCCATAAGTTCTGTACAGATCAACACCCAGATTTTGCCCATCCGGAAACACTTCACAACATTGTCACGCTGAAAAATCAAATCCAGTAAACATTAAGAACTGCATCAAGTTTTAAGATTATACATTTAAAGATTATACATTTACATAAAACATATCAATGAAGGCTGAAAAAACACTTTCAGCACCTGCTACTGTGTACTATATAATTTGCAATCTTCACCAGAAGAAATCCCACTCTTCTATTTTTGATTTTTTTTATGAATTCATTTATGATTTCAACTGCTCAACAAAATAGCAAACATTTGCATTAATAGCCTAATATCATAGCAATGGTGTAGTTTAGTTATCCGAAAGGGCACCTGTTCTCACCTCTAACTGGGTTCTGTCTGCATGAATGACATCGACATTGACACCATCGTAGATAAGTTCGTGGAACAGCTCCTTGGCCCGATCCTTTGACTGGACAAATATCAACACTGGAGGCTCAATGCCCTGCAGAAAATAAAGTTGTGAGAGTGATTATTCCTGGATTATCACATCAGGAGACACTAGAAATTGGCTTCACATTGAAACACAACCTAAACTGTGACACAACTACCCACTGCTATAATTAGGCTACCCTACCGTCCCCAGTATGATGTTTGTCTGAGAAGGGAGTTGTAACAATTGTAGACCATGTGAATCAGGGAGCATATGTGAAATTGGTATTTAAATACATAATCACTTGAAGAGGAATGACAAAACAAGGGAAAACAGCAGAAACTAATTTTGAAACACTTCTTGGCACTTTTTCAAAATCAAGTGAAAGAGTGAATTTTAGTACCACTCAAATGAAGTGAAAGAGTGAGTGACAGTAAGTTTAGTTTTGTCAACCAAGCCAGCGCCGCCTGACCACCCGATCCTGTTAGTCGCCAGCAATATTCCACCTATATGAAGGCGATTTTTATAAGACTGAAATTAATTAGTCATGGCATGATGTATCAACTCCAGCCATAGGTAAAAATGAGGTATACTAACACAAATTTAATTACATTTAATCACTTAATGACCAATCAGGCATAATGGATTAATGGATGTTGGTACAGTTTTTACAGATTTCACTGTGGAATAAGATCCTGATGAGTATATTGATATGGTCAAGTTGGTACCTTCTTGATCATGTTGCGGATGGCCAGCAGTTTCCCTGACTCTGTTCCAACAAACACCAACTCCTGCTGGATTGTCTCCGTCGCTGAGTTCCTGGACAAGACAAACGCTCATTGTTTACTGGGGGCTTTGTTACACGTCACTGTGTCTGTACAGTGATCTGAATGTGACAGTTAACTTCAGGATGACTAGGTAAAATGCATCACTTTCTTAAAGCAAGAGGCATATACACTTACCTATAGATTGATCCTAAGCATTATAATCTAAATTTAGAATCAGTTGCAATGGTCTCATCTACACCTGTACTAGGTAACAGTGATGTAAGTCTACTTCAATCCCACCTTCACCTGTGCTTGTCTCCCTGGGTCCAACGCAACCTGTACCAGGTAGTAGTGACATCACTCTCACTTCTGGTCAACCTACACCTGGGCCAGTATTAACGACATTTGTCTCACCTTAGTCCCACGTACACCTGCACGACATTGTCCAGGTTGAGTTTGCACCAGTCCTCCACATCACAAGCGAATGTTGCACTGAACATTGCTCGCCGCACATGAGTTGAGTCACAGGCCTTGTAAATGACACCCAGCTGAAACCATTGTGTTCGACAATTTTGTCATTGATGCTTTACATCAAGGCAGGTGCAGTGAATTATTTTCATTTGCTTTACTGGGTTTCCTTTCAGCATTGTAGAGTATTTTTAATGCTTTGAAATTAAATGTCAAATGTCAAAATATGTCACACCTTTGACCCTGATCTGATCTTTATTCATTACTGAAACATGTTTTACTTGATCACATGAGAGAAGACCAGACACCCTTCTGAACTACACGAACATGTGATACTAAATTTGCTGCACTTGAAAAAATCACAAGCAGGAATCTGTGCTTCAAATCGTTAATGTAAACATGATTTAAGCAGTACAATCTTAAAAGAAGTATATAAACATAAAAGTGGTACGTTGTTAGCTTGAAATGCTATTTTCTAGTCCTGTATGCTGAATTAGTGTAACAGCTAATGAGCCTTTCCAAGCATGTGCTTGAGCAAAGAAGGGAGATAACTCTCAGCTTAAGGTACAAGCAGTATGTCCTAAAAATTATTTACCCAACTAAAATATATACTAATTTGTTATATATTAATTAGCGTGATATGGTACATTAATGATATTGAGATATGTGACTGTTAAGCCTCTGGCATTTGAATAACAAATTGTCTGTATATTAACTTTTACTTCACATACCTGGTCTCTGAATCCTTTCTTCCCGTCCTCAAACAGCTTGTCGGACTCATCCACAACCAGCCACTCCACACTGAAACAAGATGCACCACCATCACCTCCTGGAACACAGCTTTCAAGGCAACCATCCTTCCTTTCCTAACAAACACCTGTCCGGAGCAACATCCCAAGTAATTACTGATGTGAATCACTGTGCTTCTTAACTATCAGGTCATAACAAGACATTCTGCCAGTTTGACATCTCAAACTGAATGTCATGAACTTTGTGAAATATTTAAATTGCGATAATGTCCCTGGGGAATGAATTATTCCCTCCCCATATTTTATATCAGAATACCTGTTACATTAATTGCTTATCATAGGCTATTAACAGACTTGTTAAGATATCAATTTCTTAACAACATTTTCCAGAAAGTATAAAATACACATAATAATATAATAAATCCACAAGAATACTTCTACAACTGCTTACAAGTTACAAGAATATAGAGCATCTTCAAACAGTAACTGTGTATCAGAAAAAGTGTTTGTAATAGTGTTCATACATATTTTTCTTAGCATACCCTAGACTCAGAAGGGGTGGTGGGGTAGCCTAGTAGTTAAAGCTTTTGCTGATGACGCTGAAGACCCGGGTTCGATTCCCCACATGGGTACAATGTGTGAAGCCCATTTCCGGTGTCCCTGCCGTCATATTACTGGAATATTGCTGAAAGCGGTGTAAAACTAAACCCTCTCACTCACTCACTCGACTCACAAATAACATTTCCAAATACATCATTGTTTATAATGCCTCAAAAAGAAATAGAAAAAGGTATACAACACACATATATGACTCACTTGTCAAGTTTGATGACGTTTGGATGTTTCTGCAGGATGTAGACCAGCCTGTTCGGAGTTGTCACCAAGATGTCTGAAATGTTCAAAGGCCCAATTGTAATAAATTCCTATTGATACACAATAAACACAACTGTCCCTAAAATAATGTAAGTCTTACGATAAATTCAATATTTAATACTTATCCCGACTCCTGCTGTTTTGCTTATCTCCCTTTCCCTTTTCGACGGTTACGTGGAAACTTGAATCCCTTGCAAACTCTGGTCAAATTTCACTCACCCATCGGGAGCCCCACTTTCCGCCAAAACCGCCTCACCCGACCTGAGCCAAGCTCTCATTACTCGCTCCTGAATAAGCCCACACTAACGCCTGCAGTGAAGCCCGTAGTGCTGAGAGGGGACGGTTGGGAGGGCCTTCAGATCATGAGTCAGGATAAGTATAAAATATCAATTTTATCATAAAAATTACATATTTTTCCTTATCCTGTCTCATGCTATATTGCATACCAAATCCGACGGAATAGGTGGTGGGTCAGCCACCTAACGGGATTCACTGTGACTGTTAGATCTAAATAGCGTCTGATCATATACCTCCTGGGAACTCTTCCTACGGCTTCTTCTACTGTGGCCAAGACATCCTGATGACGATCGGTGGACCACACTGTCCAAAGTCTTTAAGGAAGTAAATCATGTAGATTTCGTGGATTTTAGATAAACTAGTACACCTCGATGTCTGGAATGATCCATATTTTAAGGTAAGGACTATTACCGAAACTGAATTGCGACCCATATGTTAAGGTAAGGGCTATTACCGAAACTGAGTCTAAATCACTCATGCGCTGACTTATCTTGTAAGACAGTGGAACATGGACATCAACAAGTGACAAGAGTGAGTTTCTCATTGTCTGGCTGGAAGTGTGAGTTGTTGAGCTACTACAAGGGCCCGAACTGGTGGATACCGGATACATCTTCTGTAGCGATATCCAGAAGATAATGGTTAGCGAACACTGTGTCCGACTTCAAGAAGCAGCCTTCCATGATGGACGATAAAGATCAATTCCATGCAGGGTGAGTGTGAAGGCTAATGCTCTAACTGCGTGTGGGTTGGAGGCTCTTGGCGGATCCAACCCTGCTGCTCTGTAGGCTCGTATGACGACAGCTCTGATCCAAAACGAGATCATTGTTCGGGCACTTCATAGTCATGGCGGGTGATAGCGGGATGAAGAGACTCTTGAACTTACTCCTCCTTGTAGCAGTCCATTCTAAGTAGATCTTCAAGGCTCTGACTGGGCATCATCTGGTCTGAGGATTGTAGACAATGCTGGGGACGTGGAATTGTTGACCTGGTAGCTGATTCTTCGCAATGAAGTCCCATCTAAGTCCCAGGTGGACTGCAGCATGCTCTCCAGAGTCTAATCTGGTTCATTCGTAGTCGAGGGCGTGTATCTCTGACATCCGATCAGCTGTAGGTAGGGTGAGGAGGAACAGTGTCTTCTGTGTTAGCAGTTCAAAAGTAGTGTGTCTCAGTGGCTCGTAGTTGTCGCTGGTCAGATGTTCCAGCACAGGCTGGAGCTCTAAACTTCTGCTGCTGGTCTTCAAGCTTGAATGATCTCAGTAGGGTGATGAGTTCAGGTACTTTGGTGAGGTTGACTCCCGTATTCATGGTGAGAACGGAGCTGATTGCTGCCAAACATGTCGAAAGTAAAGATCCCTTCAGGTGTCTAAATCACAGTTGCGGATATGAAGCTTTCACAGTCGAAAACCCCTTGCGTGCAGCAAACTGGTCGAAACTCTTCCACTTGTCATCGTAGAAGTTGTGGGTTGATCGTCTTAAGGCCAGTGTAACTGCCTCAGCTGTTCTGGTCGAGTACCCTCTTCTTTTCAGGCAGTGCGTAATACATTCCATGAGTGTAGCTGGAGCCCTCATGGATTGCCGTCAGGTTGCCTTTTGTGAGCGAGCGAGTGAGTATGGCTTTACGCCGCATTTAGCAATATTCCAGCAATATCACGGCAGGGTATGCCAGAAATGGGCTTCACATAATGTGCCCATGTGGGAATTGAACCCGGGTCTTAGGCGTGACAAGTGGACGCTTTAACCACTAGGCTATCCCACCGCCTGCTTTGTGTGAGGATGGATCAGTAGATTCGGCAAATCTGGTACAAGCAGCGTTGGTTCTCCCCAGAGCTGTATTAGGTCTGGAAACCAGCTTCTCGATGGCCAGTAAGGCGCGACCAAAATCATACGTAGGATCTTGTGTAGAACTTGTGGTATCAGGATCGGTGGCGGGTCGTCTGCTAGGTTGAAGAGCTAGAACGTCAGTTGTAGCAGCGGCGCTGATCTCGTTGAGCCTTGTACATATATGTAGAAGTTGCGAAGGCCTCACAAAGACTTCTGGTTCGAGAACCGGCGGTTGTGAGTATGACAAATCGTTGGCTTCGACCGTGGGTGTGAGGACGTTCGCTAAGGAACGTACTTCAGCAGCAGGCACTGATGATCTCAAAGGTCTCATGGAGCGGAATGACCATGATGACGATGACCTCGATGACGACGTCTTCGATGATGGGAGAGTAAATTTTAACTGTTCTTGGGACAGAAGGATTCAAGTGTCCATGTGACCGCCGAAAGGGAAAGGGAGACAAGCAATATAGCATGAGTCAGGATAAGGAAAAATTTAAACTTATTAAAAATACCAAGCACTTTCCAAATACATCAGTTTACACATACATGTATGCTTAGAAAAGATTGTCATATCTGTAGTATTACTCACCAAATTTCTTTTTTGATTTTGGTGAAAACTTTTTAATTGCAGTTGCTGCCTTTTCAATGTAGTATATCTTGAATCCTAAACCCTCTGACAATCTTTGGAACTCCCTGTAAGTCTGAAAGCAGAAATGGCTGTAATTGCTGAAATACCCAAATGTGGATATCCATGGATGTTGAGTTTTAAGTACAAAATTCAGTTTGTTTTAGACCAGGTGCACCACTGACATTACGATCAGATGTTTTCTTCTGCTTCAACACCTGAAGTCACCTCCAGAGTGGGTTGTGTCCGGTGAACTTCCTGATCCACCTATCAGCATTGAGGCTTTCAAATTTTCAGTATGAATGAGAGCAGCATTTAAACTGGTACCTTGAGCATAAGTGAGTGAGTGAGTGAGTTAAGTTTTACACCGCACTCAGCAATATTCCAGCTGTAAGGCGATCTGTAAAGAATCAAGTCTGGACCAGACAACCCAGTGATCAACAGCATGAACATCGATCTGCGCAATTGGGAACCAATGACATGTGCCAACCAAGTCAGCGAGCCTGACCACCCGATTCCGTTAGTCGCCTCTTAAGTCAATCATGGGTTATCAGTGCTGTGGTCCGGGTACAAATTTTGGTGAGTTTCATTAACTTATAACTTGGTACACATTTTATACATACAGTCTTTTCTGAGTGCCATGGCATCTACAACCAAAGGGGAGTGCTAGTGAAGGAATAATTGTTTTCAGTGAGGGTTTTCATTTTGTACAAGTCAAAATTTCCGAATCATTGAAGATGACAGACGATTTGTGACCTTCTGTCGAAGTGTCCTAAGACCTTTTCTCAGTCTCATCAGACTGTGAAGACTTGATTTTGATGAGATTGGTGCAGCCCTGTCACTCTCCATTTTGGATCCACCATTCTATGTGCTATCCTCAACCACCTAACTCTAGTCTCACCTGTTTGGCTAGTTCTCTGGTTGGAGCAAGTACGACTGCCCTGAAGCCAGAGTTGCGCGGCTCCTTCAGATGATGCAGTATCGGGATGATAAATGCTGCTGTCTTCCCTGAGCCTGTTGGGGCACATGCCATTATGTCACGTCTCTGGGGACAAGAGTCAATAGTATCAGTAGTCACATGTCTGACCCGGCTCACATAGCAATATACTCCACAAGTGCTTCAGCTGTGTAAGGCGGACTGTTAGTTTGTCTTATGTTTCATGATACACTTTGCAATGTTGCAGCTATATGTTAAAATATGTCTGATCTATTAATCACCTCTCATGACAAGCATAGGTTTTGTTTTCAAACAGAGCTCAGTATAAAGCAATTATTTTCATTGATGTTTTCACCATATAAAACAGGTGGAGGACAAAGTGAACTGTGAAACAATTAAAGCAGGGAGTTACATGACATACAGACTAACAGTAGCTTGAAGGTTGAATATCTGCAGTTGGACTCAAACCATACAGTGTTCTCCTCAAACTGATAGACATTCTAGCTAAGTTTAGACAGACTAGTCTCATGGTACAAGAATACCTAAAAAGGGGAGATAACTAATTACTACACCCGGTACAAGCCCCCATACCCTAGTACTGTTATACTGGTCAACAATGATCAACAAGGAGCATATCTAGTCAGTACCTGTAACATGGTTGGAATAGCCTGCATTTGTACTGCAGTAGGTTCCTTATACCCTATGCTGTAGATGTTGGCCAGGATGGTTTTGTGGAGGCCGTACTGGGTCTGGAGGTGTTCAAACGTGGTAAGAGGGGGCGGGATGTCTGTGCCTGTCACATGGAGTTTGTGTCGCTTCCTCAATTTATTCAACTGAAAACAATACAAGAGCATTAAAACAAATATTTACATTCCACTTCTACATGCTTAAAGGTATTTCTGGGAGATAAATGGATTCCTTGGACCTGGTAGCTAAAATCAATAGAATTATCCTAGAATGGCCCACATGTTATCAGGGAGGTGAGGTGAGGTGAGGTGAGGTGAAATTGGGTTTAACGTCGCGCTGGAGAATATTTCGCTCATATGACGACGTTGTTATCAAGGAAAAGAGAAGAGATAATTATTGGAGCAAAAATGAATGGTATTTGATTAACATTGAAACCAATGATACTAGTAACCGCAAAGAATATGATGTTTGAACGTTGCAAGGGCAAGGACTGTTGTACTTTGCCATTTGGTTGAATTCACACTCATCTGTAATTTGTTAGATTTTTCCTCATCTAAATTGCCGTCGTTTCTATCTAAGAGTATGCATGGGACTTCATGATGTTCATTGACCCATATTTCATCGTTTACCTGACTGACTCTGCATGGGCTTCCAGTGGCTGCCTACTACTGTGGATGGACCAGGGGTGTGTTCAGGTCAAGTGTAACAAGAGGCTTAAAAATTGTTTCATGTCATTTCCACTCCATAGTCGGAAGAACAAGGAAAGTGCATAACGTGAGATAGCATAACATTAAAAATATTCTATATCAAACTGAATGTGATGTAGCAGCAACTGCAGTCACCTTCTTCTCCTTTGCGTCTGCTTTACTGTGCTGCCCGTCTGCCTTCTTCTGCTGTCTGTTCTTTGTGTTCTGGGTCTGCTGACCCTCATCCTCAATCTTCCCTGATGATCTGATGTTCCCAAGCAGCTGTAGTTCATCACCAGAGTCAATCTCCGAGCCAGAATTCCCTTCGTCATCCTCCTCCTCAGAATCTGTTTCATCATCACTGGATTCAGATCCAGTTTCCTGGACATCCATCTCTGCATCTTTTGTTGCAGTATCAGCTTTATCACTATCCTCATCACTGTCTGAAGATCCAGTATCACTGTTTGAAGAGTCATCTGTATGAAAGAGAAGTATAATTTCCAGTAAATGAATTGAGTGAGGTGGATTTATAAGCCACTTTAACAGTGCCCTGACCTGCCAGTCTGTCAATAAAGGAATCACATGTATCATCAAAATCATTTGAGATTGAGATGAATTTTTTAGTTATGCAAATCAAGTCATTGTGTCCATAACCTTTCTCTGAACCATCTGCTCATGGTTATTGAAAGTTCATATTTAAGGTTAATCATCATGATCATGGCACAATCAGCCACATTTCAGCCTTACATATTCACACATACCGGATACCACGTGTATGGAAGCAGGATGCCAGATATGCAGGGATTCTCTGTGTTCATGTGATAATGTTAAATACACTACCAAAAAAACATGTGAACACTTTTGTTGAGCTATGCAATGCTAACATGCATTAAACAGTAAAGAGTATGTCTAGCAACATTTTGTCTGCTCCTGCTTTCTGACTGTCCAATGGTCCAAACCAATGTTTTAAGAAAGGAATTCAGTCTCAGGTGTGCTTTTCAATACAGGCCTAAGTAAACTTGCCTTCCGACAGCCATAAAAGAAATGAAAAAGCCCAACTGTTGTCATGGTAATAATCATTTACCACATACTGACATACCAGAATGTCTGTACAGATTAAAAATAACAACATGCAGAAACATTAAATATATATCATATCTATCATTAGATGATTATGTATGTCATGTATAGATACCTTCTTGTTTCTGTTTCTTTGTTGCTGTTGGACCATCATGATGAGCAGGTTGATCATGCGAAGATATTTTTCTTTTCTTGATTGAATGCTTATCGTCCTCTTCACTGATCACTTCATCATCTCTGGGGTGTTCTTGTTGGGCAAGTTCTCTTCCAGCTCCACGTCTAGGTTCGGGTTTAGAACTCACAATCTGAACATCGAAACATACTACAGACATCAGGATGACAACATGATTTGCTTGCTCAACAACATGAAAAACAAGGATGGAGTTATAAAAACTATTATGAATAAGGACAATTTGTGGCAATATCTAACATGTTTAATAATTAATAAATAATGACAGTACTGACAATACTGTGAATCATGCTAATGACACTATCAGAATATATAGTATTTTCCGATTCATTTAAATACTGTACTCCTCCTACTTTAACATAAATGATATATCTACTAGCCTGTAAAACTCGGATCTAAACCAAATTTTAGAACCACCAACACAACTTGCCAACAGATGTTTTTAAGGAATGAATCGTGCATATGTAGATAATCATATAAGCAACCAGTAGGTGTTGGCTAGTGACAGAGGAGCAGTATATAGCTATGATTCGCAGATAACATCATGAGTAAGCTACAGTCCCGAAAGACAAAATATAATGTCAGATCTAACCAAAATAAAACTCCCGTTTTAAGTTAAGGGACGTGTCGTTGAATTTGTATGAGGTGAGCGAAAACAAAAGTCACAGGGAAACATAGAATATTATTTGGGAGTAACTGTAATTACCCTTAACTTTTCAGCATCACTGTGAAAGCGCTTTAAATCAAATTTAGCTCCGAAACCAAGTTTTCGGAAAAGCTGATATCCGTCCATGCTGTCTGGTTTACAGCGGAAGTAGAATACCCAGCTGGAAGGAAGTGGTGTAAATAGAGGGAACGACGTCCCGAGTTACTTCCTCTTTGCTACAGAAGCAGCTGAGACGTGACGATGGCAGCAAGAAGACGTGCAACCGCTAACCCCGTTGAAACAAAACCTACAAAAGAAGTGACAGAAGGTGTCACTAAAACTGACAATGACATGTCATTTCAAGAGAAAATAGAGTACATAGATCAGGAAATACGAAAGCTCCATGTCTTCTGTGTCAACTCTGGCTACAGCTCAACTCAGATTGAGGGATTTGTCGACCCTTTCACTCAGTCGATGAAATCAGTGAACAGGGAACGATGGACACGACGAGCTATACGTCTTGCAATCTTCGTCGCTGTTGCTGCTGCTTTGTTCTATATCGACCCAGTCTACAAGTTGATTTGTGTTGTTGGAAAGAAAAGTGCAATCTCCGTAAGTAACATCTGCTGTGTGACCATGATTAACTTGATTATAGGTATAAGATGACGATGACGATGATACTGATGAACAGATATATACCTGTCAACTCAAACACATTTGGCGTGAAACTCAGGTCTTTTGAAGCAAACCGGACTGTGCCACACAATCATGTCACAATGCACTGCAACTTCACTCCTATACACACAAAATAAGCTCTACAACATCATGCCTTCATTTTGTGTCAGATTGCCTTCTTTCCCTTTGCAACCATCAAAGTTTACTGAGAAGCTGAGACCAGCTTTCCATTTTAGCATGCTTAGTGGCATCTGTCTTGTGTCATTGTTGTCACAAAAGTGACAACGAGTACCAACAGTGGAACGAGCTCTCTGTATTGCCTTTTGTATTAGCTTCAACTATATTGTACTTCCATGCAGTTTACTGTCATGATGGATCTAACAGATGGGGGCGGTGGGGTAGCCTAGTGGTTAAAGCATTCGCTCGTCATGCTGAAGATCCGGGTTCGATTCCCCACATGGGCACAATGTGTGAAGCCCATTTGTGGTGTCCCCCGTCGTGATATTGCAGGAATATTGCTAAAAGCGGCGTAAAACCATACTCACTCACTCACTCACTCTAACAGATGAGTGTTCCTTTTGAAGAAAATGACTAGTTCCAATTCTGTTTCAGATTCTGAACAAAAACCAAAACATAATGCACTAAATATTTAACCAACCCACAGCATGCAAGAGAGTTTAATGTAAGAATGGACAAAACTTTACAGGTGCTGTTTCCTTTGTGGAAAAATTCTCATTCAATATATGGTTTGAAGTTGATTGGTAAATTCTAAGCATCAGGGCCAAACATTGGAGTAAATGTGGTCAGAAAGATCTTTGCAACTTTATGTCTACAAGACTGTAAATATCAGTGATATATATAGGAAAAGTACAATTTTACGATCTATATAATTTGTCTTGTTTGTTATTTTGACATCAAGTAACATGAGCTGTAAGTAAGATTAATAATTATTGGATCGGAAAAAGTTACCTGCAATATATACATTGCCATAGGTACTTTTGTCAGTTTTGGGGTTATTTCTACATCTCTTTGTTCAGATAATATACAGAACAAATAGATATACTGGGAAAAATGGTTGAAATAATTTTTCGAATGGGGGCTTTGTCCCGTATGGAATGTGACTAATACTCGCTCACTGTACATTCAATTGAGAGGTTATAATGATAACAATGTTGATGAAATGTCTTATCACATCACATGCACTGTCACATCGTTCATAATCATAGTGTAACATACTAACAAACTATAGGAATTCATCCCATTCAAGAGATGTATACAGCAGTGGTAAGTGATACCAAGCTATAAACACCGTATAGAAGGTAAAACTACACAAACAAAAGGTGTCCAACATAAGACCTAAACGCAACTGCTTCATCATGATCATATTACTAGTGTGATTTCCTGAAAACTATGGAACTGATTGTTGAATGAATTTAATATGTTTAGACAAAAGTTTAGAACATGTCATGAGTGTGCACAGCGTTGTCATGATCGGGGATGTTTTGTTAGTTTTGGTAGAGGGATTCAGTTTAGGGAAGACAAAACTCTCATTGTTAATGCTGTGTTGTAAGCTGACCCTGTTGTTTGAACAGCAGCGAGTCAGTAAGGTAGCAGTATTTGGTGACGCGAATATTGTCTTCTTCGAGTGGGGCCTAATGTTGTATTGTGTGAATTTGTTTCAAATATCCATTTGTCAGGTATTTGGTATTTAATGATATGCTCATCATACTTATGACTAGTTGAGATTCATAGCAGATATTGGACACTTTCTGAGGATTCACAACCATGAGAATATGGAAAGGATATATGAAATTTTGTGTTGCAGTCTTTTCACAGTGATCAGGGCCTGCTTTCACAAAGCGCTAAGGTGATCGTAAGTCACTAAGGTAACCTTAGTGCAATGTTAAAGAATGGGAGTTAAGGTTAACCTTAGTAAAGGTTGCTTCATGAAAAGAGCCCCTGAACAGAAAATGATTAACCATTATGATCGTAATGTTAATTTATGTGACAGTTCTTCAGCTTGTTTAGTTCACCTGCACCAAGGTTATGTTTCACTCATTAAAAACTTCACAATATTGTGCAAATGACAGGAAAATTTGCTGTTTAGACTGGCAGAAGATTCTTTATGTCCATAATGACAATGGCATGAATGTGAGCATTAAATATACTTTTGATAAAAAATGATATGCAACAGGTTTTACAAACAAACTCATAAAACACATAACTAGTTTTCTTCCATGTTGAAGCAGTATTCAAGTAATAGTTAACAAATAATATGTTTCCCTGTTTGCAAGGAAATTGGAGTGTTACCCAAGTGAGTGACTTGTGGTGATGAGGAAGTTAAAGAGTGTGACAGACAGTGTGTGTTTCCTGGTTGTACATTTTAATTACACCAGTAGTATGCATCACTGTACATGGATTACATGGATTACTGGCTTAGAGTCAGACCTGGTATTCCGGGCCAAACTTTAAGGCCTTATTTTCCTTTTAGTTGGTTTGTGAGACCAACCATCAAAAATATATTTGAAAAATATTATTAAAAAAAATATCTTGCCATGTTTACCATGTTGATATGAATAAAAGTTATGCATTGATAAATAATCCAGGGACTTGTAAATCTTTCACTTTTGACTTTGGAATATGATGGGGACCTCTTTCCTTACTTAAATTCAAAATTCAAATCAAAACATCATTTTTCTTGGCCTTAATTGTAATTCAACAATCTATTCTATTGGTTGGGTAGCCCAGTGGTTAAAGCACTTGCCATCATCTAATTTGATTCCCAGTATGCCTATACTTGGTGTCCATATCTGTGACACTGCTTAAATATTCCTGAAACTACGATAAAACTTCACGATCTGAAATTGTAATCTGTGTAGAATTTACAACTAGCAGCTAAACTCATAAAATCTAAATTGTATTGGGACATTATCTCAAAATCTTTTGACTATGGAAACAACCCAATTCCAGCAAATCACTACTGGAACTAAGGCCACTAATGAGTCTAACAGAATTTACTGCTTCGATATTGTTCATCTGCCAGATCTGATCACTCTTCATTACAGACAGGCTCAAAATGGGGCTATCGAGGGGTGTATGCTAGGTTTGTGATTTAAAAAATGCAAAAGGTGAAAACTTTCATCTGAGCAATGTGTGAAATTTTCTTGAATATTGATGAACAAAGGAACCCTTGAGAACCTATGGGCTTGGTATACATGGTGCAGACTGATTTGTCAGTAACAAAAAGGCCAGTACTGGAGTCCATTTTCCTCGGTGTGAGTGAGTTTAGTTTTGACACCGCTTTTAGCAGCATTCCAGCAATATCATGGCGGGGACACCAGAAATGGGCTTCACACATTGTACCGATGTGGGGAATCGAACCCGGGTCTTCTGTGTGACGAGCGAACGCTTTAACCACTGGACCACCCCACCTCCCCCCCAGATATGGAGAGTCCGTTGAATTTCAGGGGTCATTGACATGGTCCTCCCAGCAGCTTGTGCTTTCATGCTATACTATATGATCATGGGTTTTCGGTGTTGCACATTTTTGGATTTCAGTTTTTATTCATGCTGTAACAGGGTGGGTTGCATCACACCGGCATTGAAAATACTTTGATGATGGCTTGTATTTAAAATAAAATTGTTTTATTATGTTTATCGCATGTTTTACAATTGTTCATGGGATAACCAAGACGATAACATATTAGTAAGCGTCCGACAACTCATAACATGATGATACATAACACACCACCTACATAAAGAATGCCTAGTATATGCATCGTAAAGCTTGTTGAATATATAGACTACAGTGGTTTACATGACTGAACATTAATTACCATGAACTCAAAATTATATATTCAGTTCTTCTGAATAAACATGTTACTTGCAACACAATACAAAATACCTTGAAATCGGCGATAATGTTGTATTTAGTCATCTTGTTATTTTTTTTATTTCAACTCGAAGAAATTAACTGAATAGTGAACTTACAAACAATTTTAAGCATACACAAACTCCCTAAATGTTGACAGTACTGATGGCTACCCCTTGTTTTGACCCTCATTCAGGCTGTGCCAGTTACATGCTTGAGTAACTTCGGGAGATGATACAGATCAATATGGATGCCAGGGCTGTTCCCTTCACTGTCGTCTAAATCAATAATGATGATATTTAATATTCATGTATTCAGTTTATCTGGTGCAGGTTAACTGAAATCATTTCATTTCTCCCACATAACAGCTCAACATTTTTTGTTCAGTGTTCAGTGTTCATGTAACACGCACCATGTATTTTGACACATTTGCTGTGGGAATGGTGTGACAGATTTTGTTAGTCCTCACAGAAACAGATACAGTGCCGATGTAGAACCATGTTGAATTTGAACAGCTGTTCATGTGAAATGTAAATATTGAAACATACAGAGCAATTGTTAGTATGTCTATTTATTCAACATTAAGATTCCAAATTATGTACCTTTAACGGAAACTGTTTGGGTTGACATGACTGTGTTTTCTGTCAATATTAGTTTTGTCTTTATATGTCTTGGCTTACATATTCGCCATCCTTATATTTGATAAATATGGAGTAAGATGAAAAGTATGAGGAAAATATTTACAACTTGTGTCAAGTCTGCTAACATATTTCACTGTAGTGAAATGTGTTGAGTGCAAGGTCTTGAGGCCTGTAACATCACCAGTGAGAGATGTAACATGGCTCTCAGTTTCTTCTATGCGAGACGGGTGCACTCTGCGGCACTAAGTGAAGCACTTGAAGTTGAACATAATAAATTTAATCAACGAACTTGATTGTGTGATTAAAGCATTTCTTAAAATCACCCAAACAGGATGGTTATTGCTTGACACGCTTCTCGATCACCGATTGCTCAGTTTCATTATTTGCTCTAAAAAGATTACAAAAGATGAACCGTCTAACCTGCA